TCAGGATTCACTTCTCGTGTAAGCAACGATACAATTTATATACAACTAAGCTTTAAGAACTTTGTTAAATCTAGTGATAACCTGAACACAAAATATAATGAAATCATTTGCCATTCTGTCACTCATTTTACTCACTGATTTCAGCAACGATGAAGCCTTTCACGCTTTACGTCCACCAAGACTCTGACGAAGCCAATGATGCCGGTAACAGAGGCTTTAGTCTCAGGTACCGACAGATTACCAACTGTTGAGGAGGGAAGGCATCGACAGAGACAAAGCCAGGACTAAAATTTATGAAAGTTGTGTATAAGGAATGCTTTAACAAGATTGTATCTGTTAGTAATGCCTCGGTATTACGTTACTTACCTCCGTCCTCTTCTCGGAGTGGTTCATAGGGCCACTGTAGCTTACACCGTATCGAATATGTCCCAACACCACTATCTTATTGTGGTTTATAGGGCCACTGATAGCTTATGTCGTATCAAGTCCTACCACAACACGGTTTCGAAGATCATAGAGCCGCTTTTGGGTAAATTTTTCCCCATGAAAACTGAAAAAGAACTGAGATATGACCTTGACATCTGTCCTTAAAGAAATTTCAACAACACAAGACGCAGCACAAGTTGAAGAACAAGCTAGGTAGGATTTATCAAGATGACTGTAACGACTTGTGCCCTCAAGGGAGGTTCCTTGTCTCTGGTGAGGGGCCCTTGATCTAGAGAATTGGATCTGTGCTCAAGTTCCCTGAATTGAGCCTGAATACCTTCCATCTCCCCCCACATGCGCTATATAATCCTACGGGTTTAGTGCTCCCCCGTGATTATAATTATAATGCAACGACTTCTCCTCACAATTAACAGCAGTGGCACCTTTGGATTCACACCAGACAGCTGCTTCTCCTCAGCCAGCTTACTAACACCAGCTGAGGCCAACTAGACTATACAATGCTGTATCACACAGAACTAAATATCATAACTGAAATAAAAGTCACTTCGACTGACTTTTTGGGGGGATTTTGCCTGGGTAATTTACACGTATGTTACTATGTATGATTACTGTAGTCACTTAAGTGTTACTGTACTTATGTGCACCTGTACCTAAATAAACGTACTTATTTACCTCAATTATCCACACATGTTCTCAAGTCTCTCCACATGCAGGCTCTGGTGGCCTGGGCAGGCTCTGGTGGCCTGGTGGTTAACGCTCTCGCTTCACATGGTGAGGGCCTGGGTTCGATTCCCAGCCAGAGTAGAAACATTGGACGTGTTTCTTTCCACCTGTTGTCTATGTTCCCCATCAGTAAAATGGGTACCTGGGTGTTAGTCGACTGGTGTGGGTCGCATCCTGGGACACTGACCTAAGGAGGCCTGGTCACAGACCGGGCCGCGGGGGCGTTGACCCCCGGAACTCTCTCCAGATAAACTCCAGAAACATGATCTATGCGTCGTCAGCTCCCTCCGTCAGCTGACACTCTATGACCCACCCACACGGGTTTAGCACGATTATTTATAAAATTTAAAATATAATAAAAATATCACTAATAATAGTTTATTGTACCAGTTCGTTGGTATTGTATACGCTTCATATTATAATCTCTTCTTACTGTTACTTAGCCGATGTCTCAGTCCAGGATATAATTTCTCCTCCCGCTCCGTGTGCCGCCTGGAGTCTGGAAGGAAATTAGGAGTGATCCGAAAATGGAAGCGGAGTGATTTTAACGTCTCGGGTCAGTGGCCAGAAACAATGTCATCTGAAGGGGAGTGTGGAGAGAGACGCTGGAAGCTATTGCCTTCCTGGCCGGGCTCAGAGAGTAGAGAAGTTCTCGAAACTCTTCAAAGGTATATCAAAGGTATATCCAGCAAGCATATATTAGCCTGATACACATTCCTATGACTTCATATAAAGAAATCCACAGGTAGTAGGTTGTAGAATCGCCAGTATAATCGCCCAGGCCGGGCCCTTTCCAAGTAGTGGCCCGGCCTGGCTCCCTGTCGTGGGAGTGTCTCAGACCAATGTCTACCATGGGAAGAGGTGCAAGTACTTAAAATCCACAGGAATCCGTTGACGTGTGAGCAATGTAATGTCTATAGAGGAATTAATAGGAATATACTAACCAGGATGTAGAGTGCACACACACAGGAGGAGGAGGAAGGCTGGTGGAGAGTCAACACTGAACTGACTCAGGTAAATGTTTGTACTCTTGAATAGGCTGGTATTGAGTGAGTGAGTGTCTTTCTGACTGTGAAGGAAATTCTTCAGGTGTAGGTGTAGGTGTGTGTGTGTGTGTGTGTGTGTGTGTGTGTGTGTGTGTGTGTGTACTCGCTTAGTTGTACTCACCTAGTTGAGGTTGCGGGGGTCGAGACTCAGCTCCTGGCCCCGCCTCTTCACTGATCGCTACTGGATCCTCTCTCTCTCTTCTTCCTGAGCTTTGTCATACCTCTTCTTAAAACTATGTATGGTTCCTGCCTCCACTACTTCACTTGCTAGGCTATTCCACTTGCTGACAACTCTATGACTGAAGAAATACTTCCTAACGTCCCTGTGACTCGTCTGAGTCTTCAGCTTCCAGTTGTGACCCCTTGTCCCTGTGTCCCCTCTCTGGAACATCCTATCTCTGTCCACCTTGTCTATTCCCCGCAGTATCTTGTATGTCGTTATCATGTCTCCCCTGACCCTTCTGTCCTCCAGTGTCGTCAGTCCGATTTCCCTTAACCTTTCCTCGTACGACATTCCCTTGAGCTCTGGGACTAGCCTTGTTGCAAACCTTTGTACTTTCTCTAACTTCTTGACGTGCTTGACCAGGTGTGGGTTCCAGACTGGTGCTGCATACTCCAGTATGGGCCTAACATACACAGTGTACAGTGTCTTGAACGATTCCTTATTAAGGTATCGGAACGCTATTCTCAGGTTTGCCAGGCGCCCGTATGCTGCAGCGGTTATTTGGTTGATGTGTGCCTCCGGTGATGTGCTCGGTGTTATGGTCACCCCAAGGTCTTTCTCCCTGAGTGAGGTCTGTAGTCTTTGTCCACCTAGCCTATACTCTGTCTGCGGTCTTCTTTGCCCCTCCCCAATCTTCATGACTTTGCATTTGGCTGGATTGAATTCGAGAAGCCAATTACTGGACCACATGTCCAGCCTCTCCAGGTCTCTTTGCAGTCCTGCCTCATCCTCGTCCGATTTAATTCTTCTCATCAACTTCACGTCATCTGCGAACAGGGACACTTCAGAGTCTATTCCTTCCATCATGTCGTTCACATATATCAAAAATAGCACTGGTGTGTGTGTGTGTGTGTGTGTGTGTGTGTGTGTCCAAAGGTTGGACGAAGACTTACTTCGACTAGTGGATGGTACCACTATGACCCCGCCTCCTCCTGCTTTGCCTCGCCTGACTACAGTATATAAGCCACGTCTACGGCCCTATGCTATACATTCTACAAGATTGATGGACTGAACACATCGATTCCAGGCTGAGGGACTGATTACCTCAAACTACTCCTCTCCTTACACCCTTCTGCTTTGTATTGGACTGATGAAGCCACTGTATGGCGGAACGTTTCCTAAATAAAGATTCCCATATGCTGCATAAGTGTCTCAATCTTCAACTTGTCGGTTTTCAAAACCATTCATCACATCCATGAGCTTTATCATACCTTGTCTTAAAACTATGTACGGTTCCTGCCTCCACTACATCACTTGCCAGATTATTCCACTGCCTGACCTCTCTGTGACTGAAGAAATACTTCCTAACATCCCTTTAATTCATCTAAGTCTTCAATTTCCAATTGTGACTCCTTGTTCCTGTGCCCCATCTCTGGAACATCCTGTCTCTGTCCACCTCGTCTATTCCTCGCAGTATTTTGTATGTCGTTATCATGTCTCCACTGACTCTCCTGTCCTCCAGTGTCGTCAGGCCGATTGTGCGTGTGTGTATGCATGTGTCGTGCTGAATAGGTAAAACTGGTCAATTAACAAGAACTCGTTTAAAATTAAGTCCATTCTAAAAAATTTCTTATACGTTGAAAGATATATTTTTTTCATTTATGTTAATGTAAAAAATTAATAATTTTGTACCAAAAGAACCTTAGAAAACTTACCTAACCTTATTATAACAAGCGCAATTTAATTTAGCCTGATTCAGCTAAATATATTTTAGATAAGTTTACAATAATTTAATAATAAACAAACACAATGAAATATAATTTTTTCGTTAGGTTCAGAAGGAATTTTGCGAATTATCGCATACACAAATTTTCGCTTGTCTTATTCGGCAAGAAGAGCATAAGGGACGTCTCCTTGTACTTGTACTTGTACTTTCCTAAGGAACATCGGTTATCCTTCCCTTTCTGGGATCAAACTCGATTACCTCCTATTCCTCAGGCTGTGTGTGATCCCTACGGGTCTAGATTTTCTAACATATCTCGTGATGTCAGGGAATCAGTCCCCTCAAGGATCGTTCCATGATGCTGGTGAAGGGCTCTTGATCCAAGGAACTGAATATGACGTTTTCCTTCATGGACCCCTGATTAATTCGCCATTCCCCGGGGGGCTATATGATCCCTACGGGTTTAGCCCTCCCCTATGAATAATCAGAGAGAAGGTATACATTACCTGGGATACTTCACAACAGAAACAATATTTACTGTCCTTCCTGGGATACCTAAGAACAGAGACTAACAACAGTTACTCTCCTCCTTGGGATACCTTACATCTTAGTTGAAGTCCCTTACAGTCCCTTATTAATTGATGTTTCACCCACTAAGAGAAACTAACCGTAACTTCATCAGAGACAACACAATGTTGTCAGACTTGAGGTTCCCACTAGTTGAAACCACATTAGTATCCTGCAATATTCAACGAGACGGTTCTCAAAACACTCAGACATACACATTACTCGTTTAGTCAATAATGTGTCTTGGTAGGTGGAGACGAGGCTCAGGAGAGCAGGGTAGAGCCTAGAGCTTATATAAGGGAGATCAGTGGGGCCGCCTGGACCAGACTTTCTTGTGACTTAGTGTAGTGTACACCTGCCAGACTCTGTCCTCACGATATGAAGGTAATGTATACCTTCCTAGCACCTCTCTTATTATTACTGCTAACTAGTGTGACGTTGTTTCAGGCACTAGTGTAACACCTGCACTCACTAGTGTAACACCTGCACTCACTAGTGTAACACCTTCACTCACTAGTGTAACACCTTCACTCACTAGTGTAACACCTTCACTCACTAGTGTAACACCTTCACTCACAAGTGTAACACCTTCAGTCACAGGTGTAACACCTGTACTCACTAGTGTAACACCTTCACTCACAAGTGTAACACCTTCAGTCACAGGTGTAACACCTGCACTCACTAGTGTAACACCTTCACTCACAAGTGTAACACCTTCAGTCACAGGTGTAACACCTGCACTCACTAGTGTAACACCTTCACTCACTAGTGTAACACCTTCACTCACAAGTGTAACACCTTCAGTCACAGGTGTAACACCTGCACTCACTAGTGTAACACCTTCACTCACAAGTGTAACACCTTCGCTCACAGGTGTAACACCTGCACTCACTAGTGTAACATCTTCACTTACAAGTGTAACACCTTCACTCACAAGTATAACACCTTCACTCACAAGTATAACACCTTCACTCACAAGTGTAACACCTTCACTCACAAGTATAACGCCTTCACTCACAAGTATAACACCTTCACTCACAAGTGTAACACCTTCACTCACAAGTATAACACCTTCACTCACAAGTATAACACCTTCACTCACAAGTATAACACCTTCACTCACAAGTATAACACCTTCACTCACAAGTATAACAACTTCACTCACAAGTATAACACCTTCACTCACAAGTGATGATGGTACCAGCACCTCCAGCTTCAACTGGTTCCACTACGAGGTAACACCAAAACATTCCTGCAGAAAGCTTGCTCAGGCCCTTGCCATGGCGTTTTTATTTTCTTAGTTTTCTCAAGACATTCCTCTCCGTACTTCCACCTCTGGTATGGTCAATGCCCTTACCTTCTGAAAGGGATTGCAAACATATCGACGATTCGAAGTAGTTGGAGGCATTTTCTGATATTTCATTTGTTTTAGCTAAAATACGTAAATTATCACACTTTTAGGAGACACTGTACATAAGCTGAGGTACTGGACACATGTGCAATATCTGGGTATCTTTATTTGTCCGGCTGAGGGACTGATTATCTCATCTTTTGTGTATATTTCTACACATTATTTCTTGTATTATACTGATAAAGCCACTGGTTGGCAAAACGCCTGCAAATAAAGAGACCCAGATACTGCACATGTATCTAATTCCTCATCCTAGGAGAAACTGCTGCTGGAATTGCATTTTGTGGGAAAATGAAGCTCCATATCCTTGAAATATTCAACAGACCTCCTGTCTCGTATCTCTGATGTAAATGGCAGGTATTTACACGGTTTCCTTCGACCTAACATCTCGATTTATCAGCGTCCCTTCTGCTGCAGCCACTGGCATACTCTGAGGGAAGATCACTGACAACGAGAACCTCTTTGAACCTTTTCACCAAAACACTGCACTTGGGAAAAGAACCTTATGACAAAGTTAAGATTCAACCTGAACTATTGTCAAGTCACAGCTGGGGCGAGGAAAGTAAAGAAGGTCTAAGGATAGTACTCCAGTACTCTATCTTCCTATCTAAAGAACGGATTTTTGGTGAATTGTTACTTTCGTATTCTCCCTGATAAAGTAGACACTTGTGCAACACTTTAGTATCTTTAAATTCTAGAAACGTTTCGCCAACCAGTGGCTTCCCCAGTCCACTTTAGGGAAGAATGGTTGAAGATCAGGAGTTTGAGGTAATCAGTCCCTCAGCCTGGAGTCGATGTGTTCAGTCCATCAGATGGTTCTCTGAACCATTTATCTACATTATTCTTCCTGTACCTAGACAGAATTTCATCGATTTCGTTGAATCACGTATGACTATCAACTGCTACAAGTTCGACAATAGCTGCTACAGCTAGTGTTTCGGTATGGCATTAGGTTTTCCCTTTAGCACCATGCTATCCCATAGCTTCATGGAATACCATGAGACAGACAAATTCCACAAGAGGATTCCAAGTACCATAAGAGGTTTACAGTCCGTCTATGATATCCTGGTGTTAGTTCCATGTGGCTCAACATTCAGAATTATCTTAGACAAACCAACGGGGCTGAACCTGCAGCCACGTTTACTGTAGAGCTCGAGGAAAATGACCAACTCCTATTCTTAGACGTCCTAAGAAAGGTGCCTGATAGTGATACCTTCTCTTCTAAAGTGTACACTGAGTCTACTAGCAAGGATGACTCGCTAGGCTCTTGTTCCATAAACAACCCAAAGTACTGACTGGATTCTTAAGTGTCCTCCTCACACTGCAGTTTACTGTAGTGTAAGCGCACCTGTGGCAAGACAGTGATGGAGTGAATAATGATGAAAGCTCTTTTTTTTCGAGCCACCGTACCTTGGTGGGAAGCGGCCGATGTGTTAATAAAAAAATAAATCCTTGAGGAAGGATGTTCCTACATCCTACATACCTCTACGTGTCTTTATTTCTCCACGTTCTTCATCCACAACTGCAGACGAAGATCATAGGCTGTCTTGAATTCACTGAAGACAGGTACTCTTCCCATGTGGTGACATGGAAACACCTTAGAAGCACTTGCCAAGAGCGACATTAACATGGCCACTATTGTGGAAACGTTTGTGACTTGATAAAGCCCACTGTGTGGGCGAAACGTTGTCAATAAAAGATCACATTTCACTTCCTTTAATGTTTTTATCCATTTTGTCGGTATTTTATTTAATTTCTTTCCTGCTACTATTTGTGTCTACCTTACCCCATGCAGAGGTTGTGACAAGAAATACATGGGAGAGGCTGGAAGAAATGTATCTGCTAGGATCGACAAACATGCATGAGACAGAGGGATGATCAAAGTAATATTTATCTATTACATGGTGACACCAAAATGGAATGAAACCCAGCTTCTCATGAGAGATCCAGATTTAAGAAAACACATGCTAGATAACATATACAGTCAGACAAAATGCAGAAAGTTACAACATATCAGTCATACTTACATGCAGAAAAGAAGTTTGTGGGTATATAAGGATGAGTACCGAAGGGAAGACGAACAATTTTTGCAAAGATAAGGGGATGAGGGTGATAAGGGAGAATAAGTTAGTATATGAGAGGTTTTTAAAGTGTAAAAGTGATATAGAGAGAGCATGCATCTTACATATGCCTTAGCTCACCTGCCTCGTGAGACAACAGTCAGTTGACCTCATTAAAGTTCACCATTGACCTTCTCCACCTCTATGATTCAATATAGATTAACTCTTGTGACCTCGCTACTGTTCAGCACTACCTGATCATCCTATATTCTTTTGTTAAGTAATAATATACTACAGAATAGACCCTATACGGAACTAATCATTCGACGACCCGTTTTGGTTCCAATAATAACAACAACAACAACAACAATAATAATAATAATAATAATATATAACAACTTCTCTTGTCATTTTATTCATCAGGAAATAACACAAGTATCTCCTGACACGGGTCTTTACCATTTTTTACGACCCATTAATTATTTAAAGTTATGTTTCTCACCTGGAGAACACAAGGTCCTAAGACAAACATTCCTGTGATAAAATATTTTATATTATTTCCTCACGTGTGTCTCTTCACAGAGAACTTGTAATCCCCAGTAACACTGACAGATAACATAACTTCACGAAAAATGGCCTGGTGACACCAACAAGATGTGGAAAAAGACATTTATGTACAGTTAAGGACATCGACACCATGCCTGACCCTTCTAGGGTAGGGTAGGTGCCTGAGCCCGAGCCTTTAGCTCATAAGACTGTCATTCCCATTAGCCCCCTTGGGGCGGGGATGGCAGACCAGAGAGGCCTAGCTTGTGACTAGGCCTGGGGACAGTTGGTCCCAAAGATGAGGAGGTACTTGTGCCTCCTCCCATGGGAGACTTGGGTCTCAGACACTCCCTAAAGAGGGAGCCAAGGCCGGGCCACCACTTGGAAAAGGCCCGGGCCGGGAGACTACCGGCTAATCTTTAACTAACTAACTAACTAACAGTTAAGGACATTTATTAGAGGAAACGTTTCTCTAGTAAATGTCCGGAACTGTTCATAAGTGTCTTTTTCACAGATAAATTTATGGTCATTTAACCCTTAGTAGTTCTCCTTATACAGATTTTTTTTTCACTGTTGTGTGTGTGTGTGTGTGTGTGTGTATTCACCTATTTGTATTCACCTATTTGTGGCTGCAGGGGTCGATACTCAGCTCCTGGCCCCGCCTCTTCACTGATCGCTACTGGGTCCTCTCTCTCCCTGCTCCATGAGCTTTATCATACCTCGTCTTAAAGCTATGTATGGTTCTACCTCCACTACATCACTGTGTGTGTGTGTGTGTGTGTGTGTGTGTGTGTGTGTGTGTGTGTGTGTGTGTGTGTGTGTGTGTGTGTGGTGTGTGTGTGTGTGTGTTAAATATACAAATAATTTCCTCTTTATTTCCACCCTTGGCAGGTGGTGTTGAGGAGCAGTAAGGTTGGGGTGGTGTGGGTGGCAGTTGTGATGATGGGTGGCATAGTGGGCGGTGTTCTAGATGACCCATCAACACTAACTCATCATCAACAAGAACAACAACAGCCTCAACATCCAGACACAACTGAGGTCAGCCAAGACACACACAGCCAACAGGAGAGAGATGGCAAATGTAAGTGAAAAAGTCGAAGAAAGAACACATGTTTGTATTGTAAACTATAAGTGTAAGTGTAAGATTGAGAGTACAATTTGTCAGTTATGTACTCAGACTAAAGTAAGCATGAACGGCTCGAACCGCGTCTGTTAACTGACGGTCCAACGCACTACCGTCTAGCCTAACCCAAGCCTCTAACAGGAAAGATTTAGAGGTAATACTTACTAAAAGTATGTTTATATAGGTACATGTATGCATAAGTATAATTATCATACATAGTAACAAGGTAATACATAGTAACGACATCACAGTAAACAGGTGATATCACAGCATGCAAAACAACCACTGTGAAAAAAAAATAGTGAACTCCCAAGCGATTTCGTGATTTCTTACATTATCAAGGACCTTGATAATGTGAGGAAACGCTTAGAAGTTCAGTATTTTTTCACAATGGTTGTTTTCCATATAGTAACATATGTATAAATTTTATATGACCGGTAAACAATACCGACAAGTTGAGAAAATTTTGACACATGTGCATCTGGGTATCTTTATTGTAGACGTTTCGCCATCCAGTGGCTTTATCAATACAAATTCTAGAACATGACTGGAGACAGTAGAACTATATACAAAAGACGAGGTAATCAGTCCCTCAGCCTTGAAGATGGTGTTAAGAGCACCGTGGTTGTGAAGATTCTGGACCACAGGTAAGATGCTGCGTTATACTGGCGGAAGATGGACGGCATAGTCACAGGTAGGCGGGAATCCCCAGTGGAAGTAGGTCATACCTGAGGCACAGGTTAGTGGTGGTAGTAGTAGTAGTAATCATCGAGGTAGTAGTAGTCGAAGTAGTAATAGCAGCTGTGAAGAGGTAATGTGGATGTCTCCAATCATGTCCTAGAATTTGTACTGATAAAGCCACTGGATGGAGAAACGTCTAAAATAAAGATACCCAGATGTTGCACATGTGTCTTAATTTTCTCATATGTGACTTATTTACTTTGGGGTCCTTGTCATATCTTATTATTTATGATGTTTAGATAAACTGATGAAAGTGACGATAATTCACATTAGTGAAATGTAACGAAGATGATGGTGAAGGTAATGAAATTTTCGTTAATTACTGTCGATATTGGTGGTTTTTTTTGCATTTATGTAAATAAAGGCGCAGAAGAATTGTACAATAACTACATTAATGCCCCAGAGGCATGAAAAAACATGAATAAGACCGGTAGTGCCAATGAGAGCGTTTAGAATACACACTCTGTGATGTATGACTCTTGGCTTGTGTATACACAGAGAATTGACTTTAATCCATACTTTAGGGATTAAAGTATTCTTAACTGTTAGTGAGCAGGTTACGAGCAGCCTTAATCATCTTGTGTAGTCGACAGGCTTCAAACCCCATTAACCGAGTACTTCTAGAACACCAGAAAAGTATCCAAAGCACCTGAAGCAATACACAAATAACCCGTACATAAAAGAGAGAAGCTTACAACGACGTTACGGTCCGACTGGGACTTTGTCAATGGTCCAAGTCGGACCGAAACGTCGTCGTAAGCTTCTCTCTTTTATGTGCAGGTTATTTGTGTATCGTTCCAGTCACGGTATTGTGCCTTTTTTGTTATTTTAGTTACACCTGAAGCAAAGACGAATATACACCAAGGAAACGTCAGTAGTCATTCGACTAAAGGAAAGAATAACTAAGCCAAACACAGCACAAGACTATATGTGGGACTGGGTTAAGAGGCCTAATTAAGCCAAACACAGCACAAGACTATATGTGGGACTGGGTTAAGAGGCCTAATTAAGCCAAACACAGCACAAGACTGTATCTGGGACTGGGTTAAGAGGCCTAATTAAGCCAAACACAGCACAAGACTGTATCTGGGACTGGGTTAAGAGGCCTAATTAAGCCAAACACAGCACAAGACTATATGTGGGACTGGGTTAAGAGGCCTAATTAAGCCAAACACAGCACAAGACTATATGTGGGACTGGGTTAAGAGGCCTAATTAAGCCAAACACAGCACAAGACTATATCTGGGACTGGGTTAAGAGGCCTAATTAAGCCAAACACAGCACAAGACTATATCTGAGACTGGGTTAAGAGGCCTAATTAAGCCAAACACAGCACAAGACTATATCTGGGACTGGGTTAAGAGACCTAATTAAGCCAAACACAGCACAAGACTATATCTGGGACTGGTTTTTAAAAGGCCTAATTAAGCCAAACACAGCACAAGACTATATCTGGGACTGGGTTAAGAGACCTAATTAAGCCAAACACAGCACAAGACTATATCTGGGACTGGGTTAAGAGGCCTAATTAAGCCAAACACAGCACAAGACTATATCTGGGACTGGGTTAAGAGGCCTAATTAAACCAAACACAGCACAAGACTATATCTGGGACTGGGTTAAGAGGCCTAATTAAGCCAAATATAGCACAAAACTATATCTGGGACTGGGTTAAGAGGCCTAATTTAGTCAAACACAGCACAAGACTATATCTGGGACTGCGTTAAGAGGCCTAATTAAGCCAAATATAGCACAAAACTATATCTGGGACTGCGTTAAGAAACCTATTAAGCCAAACACAGCACAAGACTATATCTGGGACTGCGTTAAGAGGCCTAATTAAGCCAAACATAGCACAAGACTATATCTGGGACTGGGTTAAGAGGCCTAATTAAGCCAAACACAGCACAAGACTATATCTGGGACTGGGTTAAGAGGTTTAATTAAGCCAAATACAGCATAAGACTATATCTGGAACTGGTTAAGAGGCCTAATTAAGCCAAACACAGCACAAGACTATATCTGGGACTGAGTTAAGAGGCCAAATTAAACCAAACACAGCACAAGACTATATCTGGGACTCGGTTAAGAGGCCTGGTCATGGACTGGGTCACGGGGGCGTTGACCCTCAGAATACCCTCCAGGTAAGATCACAAAGTTCCTCCTGAACAGAGAAATTTGCTCATCAGTGGACCAGGAAGACGAACCTGGAGGTCATTACTACGGTAGTTTTTCTTTATACTGATGCAATGTACAGATGCGATCCTGCACTAAAACTTCTTCCGAGCATTATTATTTCTATTATCATTATTATTATTATTAGTATTATTATTATTATTTTAATTGGTAAATGCACGTTCGTTTCACTAAAAGTTATTATGACTCGCATTAAGGTTTGTCAACTGGAAGATAAAATACCAATAGTTAAAATATTTATGTAAATGAGTAATGGAAATCTGACTAACATGGTGTGTGTGTGTGTGTGTGGTGTGTGTGTGTGTGTGTGTGTGTGTGTGTGTGGTGTGTGTGTGTGTGTGTGTGTGTGGTGTGTTGTGTGTGTGTGTGTGTGTGTGTGTGTGTGTGTTTATTACTAGTTGTTAAAGGTGGTGGTGTTGTTTTATTTATGTATGTGTAGTCACCTGTATATGGTTGCAGGGGGTCGAGTCTCAGCTCCTGGCTTCACCTCAGGCCTCGTATAACACATGTCCCATGTCTTTATATTCTTCACAAATAGACAAATTGAACAGTTTGAACCTGTATAACCTCTAGACAAACTGAACTACTTGAACCCCTATAACCTCCTCTAGACAAAATGAACTGTTTGAACCCCTATAACCTCCTCTAGACAAAATGAACTGTTTGAACCCCTATAACCTCCTCTAGACAAAATGAACTGTTTGAACCCCTATAACCTCCTCTAGACAAAATGAACTGTTTGAACCCCTATAACCTCCTCTAGAAATTGAACTGTTTGAACCCCTATAACCCCCTCTAGACAAATTGAACTGTTTGAACCCCTATAACCTCCTCTAGAAATTGAACTGTTTGAACCCCTATAACCCCCTCTAGACAAATTGAACTGTTTGAACCCCTATAACCCCCTCTAGACAAATTGAACTGTTTAAACCCCTATAACCTCTAGACAAACTGAACTGCTTGAACCTCTATAACCTCCCGACTATTTCACATTGACAGTGTTCGTCATCCTGGCGAAGGTTCCAGAGACACAGTGCGTCACCACGGACAGTATTTCCACTCTGGGTACTTGCATGCCATCCTACCAGTGCACCAGCACGGGAGGAATGTCTAAGGGCACCTGTGTTAAAGGACTGGCCGTCTGTTGCTTAAGTAAGTACACATCAACACTGTCTCTGATGGTCATTATCTGAGTGACGCTGAGGCTCTTGCTTATGCAAGGTAGTACAACACAGGAGAGTAACGACCTTGTTACTGTAGCATCATGTAAGGTAGTACAACACAGGAGAGTAACGACCTTGTTACTGTAGCATCATGTAAGGTAGTCCAACACAGGATAGTAACGACCTTGTTACTGTAGCATCATGTAAGGTAGTCCAACACAGGATAGTAACGACCTTGTTACTGTAGCATCATGTAAGGTAGTACAACACAGGAGAGTAACGACCTTGTTACTGTAGCATCATGTAAGGTAGTTCAACACAGGAGAGTAACGACCTTGTTACTGTAGCATCATGTAAGGTAGTACAACACAGGATAGTAACGACCTTGTTACTGTAGCATCATGTAAGGTAGTACAACACAGGAGAGTATCTAGTAAGTCAGTACAACACAGGAGAGTATCTAGAAAGTCAGCACAACACAGGAGAGCATCTAGTAAGTCAGCACAACACAGGAGAGTATCTAGTAAGTCAGTACAACACAGGAGAGTATCTAGAAAGTCAGTACAACACAGGAGAGTATCTAGTAAGTCAGTACAACACAGGAGAGTATCTAGTAAGTCAGTACAACACAGGAGAGTATCTAGTAAGTCAGTACAACACAGGAGAGTATCTAGTAAGTCAGTACAACACAGGAGAGTATCTAGTAAGTCAGTACAACACAGGAGAGTATCTAGTAAGTCAGTACAACACAGGAGAGTATCTAGTAAGTCAGTACAACACAGGAGAGTAGTAACAACACAGGAGAGTGGTTGGATCATATTCGCTACGTTCTGGTTACTAATATCTTAAGTGTGTAGGTATGAACTGTCTCACTGACAGCTTACCAGATATACGACCATATACATGCTCTATAACACCGTTGCAGGCGCTAAACTCGTATGGCTCCTGCATACGGGAGTATGAGCTTTATTCTCCTCAATACCAGAGCTGTATTGCATTTTCAATAAAAATCAAAGAAAATACACGAATATCTTGAACCTCAAAGTAAGTTCTTCCTTAAATCTCTAGCCACTTCAGTCTTTGTTGTCAATAGAGAAGAGTATAATGTATGTTCATGTCATATCTCCCATAAGTCTTTTCTTTGGTGCCGCTGTGATCAGTCTGTGCCACTTCGTTGCATTTTCTCAAACTTCGTCATTTTCTAGGTTAAACAAAGAAATTCTTGATGTAATTAAGAAAATAATTCTTACGTACATAGTACTGTATTATTATTATTATTATTATTATTATTGTTAGTAGCAGTAGTAGTACTAATATTAGTAGTAATAGTAGTAGTAGTAGTAGTAGTAGTAGTAGTAGTAGTAGTAGTAGTAGTAGTAGTGGTGGTGGTGGTAGTGGTGGTGGTGGTAGCTGTAGTAGTAGCAACATTAGTAGTGGTAGTAGTAGTAATACTAATAGTAGAAGTAGTAGTAATATTAGTAGTAGTGGTAGTAGTAGTAGTAATAATAGTAGCAGTAGTAGTAATGGTAATAGTAGTAGTAGAAGTAGTAGTAATATTAGTAGTAGTAATAGTAGTAGTAGAAGTAGTAGTAATATTAGTAGTAGTAACAGTAGTAGAAGTAGTAGTAGAAGTAGTAGTAGTAGTAGTAGTAACAATAGAAGTAGTAGTAGTAGTAATAATAGAAGTAGAAGTAGTAGTAGAAGTAGTAGTAGTAGTAGTAGTAGTAGTAGTAATAATAGAAGTAGAAGTAGTAGTAAAAGTAGTAGTAGTAGTAGTAGTAGTAGTAGTAGTAGTAGTAGTAATAGAAGTAGAAGTAGTAGTAAAAGTAGTAGTAGTAGTAGTAGTAGTAGTAGTAGTAATAGAAGTAGTAGTAGTAAAAGTAGTAGTAGTAGTAGTAGTAATAGTAGTAGTAGTAGTAATAATAATAGTAGTAGTAGTAATAATAGTCGTAGTAGTAGTAGTAGTAGTAGTAGTAATAATAATAGTAGCAGTAGTAGTAATAATAATAATAGTAGTAGTAGTAATAGTAGTAGTAGTAGTAGTAGTAGCAATAATAGTAGTAGTAGTAATAATAATAGTAGTAGTAGTAGTAGTAATAGTAGTAGTAGTAGTAGTAGTAGTAGTAATAATAGCAGTAGTAGAAGTAGTAGTAGTAATAATAGCAGTAGTAGTAGTAGTAATAATAGTAGTAGTAGTAATAATAGTAGTAGAAGTAGTAGTAGTAGTAATAGTAGTAGTAGAAGTAGTAGTAGAAGTAGTAGTAATAATAGTAGTAGAAGTAGTAGTAGTAGTAGTAGTAATAATAATAGTAGAAGTAGTATTAGTAGTAGTAGTAATAGTAGTAGTAGAAGTAGTAGTAGAAGTAGTAGTAGAAGTAGTAGTAGTAGTAGTAGTAATAATAATAGTAGTAGAAGTAGTAGTAGTAGTAGTAGTAGTAATAATAATAATAGTAAAGAAAGTAGTAGTAGTAGTAGTAATAGTAGTAGTAGAAGTAGTAGTAGAAGTAGTAGTAGTAGTAGTAGTAGTAATAATAGTAGTAGAAGTAGTAGTAGTAGTAGTAGTAATAATAATAGTAGAAGTAGTAGTAGTGGTAGTAGTAATAATAGTAGTAGAAGTAGTAGTAGTAGTAGTAGTAATAATAATAGTAGAAGTAGTAGTAGTAGTAGTAGTAGTAGTAATAATAATAGTAGAAGTAGTAGTAGAAGTAGTAGTAATAATAATAGTAGAAGTAGTAGTAGTAATAATAATAGTAGAAGTAGTAGTAGTAGTAGTAGTAGTAATTAATAAATAGTAAAGTAGTAGTAGAAGTAGTAGTAATAATAATAGTAGAAGTAGTAGTAGTAGTAATAATAGTAGTAGAAGTAGTAGTAGTAGTAATAATAGTAGTAGAAGTAGTAGTAGTAATAGTAATAATAGTAGTAGAAGTAGTAGTAGTAATAATAATAGTAGTAGAAGTAGTAGTAGTAGTAATAATAATAGCAGTAGTAGTAGTAGTAATAATAATAATAGTAGTAGTAGTAGTAGTAGTAGTAGTAGTAATAATAATAGTAGTAGAAGTAGTAGTAATAATAATAGCAGTAGTAGTAGTAATAATAACAGTAGTAGTAGTAGTAGTAATAGTAGTAGAAGTCGTAGTAGTAGTATTAATAATAGCAGCAGTAGTAGTAGTAGTAGTAGTAATAATAATAATAATAGCAGTAGTAGTAGTAGTAGTAGTAATAATAATAACAATAGTAATTCTCTAACAAGAATTAGAACAATAGTAAGCATCGAAGAATGTAATTAATTATGCAGTTCATTTTAAACAAGCGTCATATTGTTGATGGTACAACACTGACAACATAAGACACAGCTCCAACACTTAGGTACCTTTATTTTACTTGGCTACCTTTATTTTACTTCAGTTTTAGTATATAAGGTCTGACCGCATACCTTGAGAGACTGACCGCCTCCTACTAGGCTGAGGGACAGATCACGTCCATACTATATCTACTGTTTCATGTGTCACATTCACCTGTGTTCGACTGAAGAAGCCTATTGTGCAAGCGATAATTTTCGGCAATAAAGATGGCCAAGCAATGCACGTAAATGAAATTGGAAAAAAAAATAATATGCCAAATCTAAGGCCAAAACAACATCCAGCTTAGACGAGACGGGAGCTACACAGTTATATAAATAGTTATATACTTAAGTTCCAATATGACTCTGTGATTAACGAGCCGCTAACCAGACTTAGAGTCAACGACATAAATTAATTTTTTATGATCGAGACTCAGAATTTGATTGACTCAAACATCTATGATATTGTCCTAACACCACATGACTTCGAAGAGGCAATAAGTGACATGTCCATTCACTCAGCCCCAGGCCAAGACTCTTGGAACTCCGTGTTCATCAAAAACTGCAAGAAGCCCCAATCATGTGCCTTCAGCATTCTATGGAGAGGGAGCATGAACACAGGACTCATTCCACAGTCACTTAAAACAACAGACATAGCCCCACTCCACAAAGGTGGCAGTAAAGCAATAGCAAAGAACTACAGACTGATAGCACTAACATCCCACATCATAAAAATCTTTGAAAGAGTTCTAAGAGGCAAGATCGTCAACCACCAAGATACCCACCAGTTACACAAGTCAGAACGACACGGGTTTAGAGCAGTCCGCTCCTGCCTGTCAAAACTACTGGACCACTATGACAAAGTCGTATACACAAACTTTGCGAAAGCCTTCGACAAGTGTGACCATGGTGTAACAGCGCACAAAATGCCTCATAAAGGAATAACAGTCAGCAGATGGATCTATAACTTCCTAACAAATAAAACAAAGAGTAATAGTAAACAGAGTAAAGTCTGAGGGAGCTACAGTACTGTTCCATAAGGCACAGTACTCGCCAAGCCCATGATGATTCTCTTCAAATCGCTTGTTTTCTCTAGGCTGGAATATACTAACAGCGCCTTTCAAGGCAGTTGGAATTACCGACCTAGAGAATGTACAGACATGGAACACACAAGTACGATAAAACACCTAAATTACTGGGAACGGTTGAAGTTACTTGACTTATATTCCATAGAACGCAGACAAGAAAGATACATAATATACACTTGCAAAATCATAGAGGGATTAGTGCCAACAAAACCATACCCCCGGCCGGGACGGGCTGGAGTTTTGAGACTCTATGACCGCGGGTTCAATCCCGGCCGGGGGTATGGTTTATTTGCAATCGTGTCATTACGATTTCTTAAGTCATGTTGACGGCAGTGAAGGGACTTGAACTAGAGTTCGTCACGGCCACGCTAGCTGGAGATTCGTCTGTAAAAACTTGCATTTGTGGTCACAGAGGTGCCTGTGCTAACCTTCCTATGGTGTAGAAATATACCTAGTTGGATGAATCTTATTGTGGCTAGCTGGTCTAGTGGTTAGCGCGACGGGCTGGAGTTTTGAGACTCTATGACCGCGGGTTCAATCCCGGCCGGGGGTATGGTTTATTTGCAATCGTGTCATTACGATTTCTTAAGTCAGATTAGTGCCAAATTTGCATGCGAGAATCACTCCCTACGAAAGCATAAGACTCGGCAGGCGGTGCAACATGCCCCCAGTGAAAAGCAGTTGCGCCAGGAATACGGTAAGAGACAACACAGTGTCAAGAGCCCAAGACTGTTCAACTGCCTCCCAGCATACATAACGGGGATTACAGATAGACCCCTGGCTGTCTTCAAGAAAGAGCTGGACAGGCACCTAAAGTCAGTACCTAATCAGCCGGGTTGTGGTTCGTACTTCGGTTTGCGTGCGGCCAACAGTAACAGAGCCTAGATGAGCAGGCCTTGGTCCACCACGAAGCCAGGTCACAGACCGGCCGCGGGGACGTTGACCCCCGAAACCCTCTCCAGGTATACTCCAGGTATATCATTTCTTAACTTGATGGTATTGTATACCATTGATAATAATGGCAGGAATTTGGTGCTATGTGCTATTAGTCAGGTAAGAAGGGATTCGTTTTAAACATTGGTTTTCGTCATTGGAAAACCCAGTCAGTGACTAAGCACTTGCTAGCATATCAGTGCTGGGTGTCAGTGAATAAATACCCACTAATGTACCATTCCTGGGTGTCAGAGAATACTTAGCGCCTTCGTCTGCTGCACCTCCCTCATCTGACGCTAGTATATAAACGTCAGTTTTCATGCCTGGTCCAGTAAGCCAGCGAAAGGCCTCGGTCAGATGACCAAAAAAGCTCCAAAAAGCTTCCTGACAAACATTACCTAACCTAACTTCAAGACTACGGTGCTCCTCACTAACTCCAAGGCTGAGGGACTGATTACCTCATCTTTTGTATGCAGTTCTACTGTCTTTCCTTATGTCCTTGATTTTGTATTGATAAAGCCACTGGATGGCGAAATACCTAAAGTTAAGATACCCAGATGTTACACATGAATATAACAAGCCTAAGCAATGTAATTAATTACTTGTTCTTGTTATTCTTTACCCTACCAGTCACCAGGACGTGTGATAAGTCAACTAACCTCAACAACACATATTTCGTCAACCCCAGCGCCCAGAACACTAATATAGGGGCCTGCACACTGACCATCAACCGTGTTAACAGTAACATCTGTCAGATGAGGTTCGATTTCATCAAACTTGACCTCAATCAGCCAGATAACAACGGTGTGTGTGCATACGACTTCCTGACGGTGACTGGTGGCGTGTCCACTGTTCCTTTAATCTGTGGCTCCAACAGCGGTCAACATTGTAAGTAGATATGTTCAACACAGTGAGTAGATGTTGCCATATTATATATATATATATATATATATATATATATATATATATATATATATATATATATATTATATATAATATATATATATATTTATCACACAGCGATTTCCACCAAGGCAGGGTGGCCCGAAAAAGAAAAACTTTCACCATCATTCACTCCATCACTGTCTTGCAGAAGGGGCTTACACTACAGTTTTTAAACTGCAACATTAAAACACCACCTCCTTCAGAGTGCAGGCACTGTACTTCCATCTCCAGGATCAATCCGGCCTGCCGGTTTCCCTGAACCCCTTCATAAATGTTACTTTTGTACACTCCAACAGCACGTCAAGTATATAAAAACCATTGTCTCCATTCATCCTATCAAATTCGCTCACCATGCCTGCTGGAAGTCCAAGCCTGCAGCACACAAAACTCCTTTACCCCCATCTTTCCATATATATATATATATAAATTATTTAAAATAATATAATATTTATATATATATATATATATATAATATAATATATAAATCAATAACAATACTGCAGGCACTACACAGGACCACCAATCTACAAAGAATCACGCACTCCAGCAGAGCTAGGTTGTTTTACGTAGATACCGAGACATACGGTGGTGTGGGTGCCTCAAAGCCAGTTTCATTCTACTCTCTGTTTGGTGTACTAACCTCCACAAGCAGTATATATATTATAATATATACTGCCACAGTGCCACAGTTTGTTTATCTTTCACTAAAGGTTCCTCCATGCTAGCCAGATCTGCAGAGAGAGACAAAATGTTTAGCATGTTTTAACTATGACTGAACACTATAAATTGGTTCGAACACTATAAATTGGTTCGAACATTTTTGAATGAGTGAACACATTAAACAAAAACGTTTCTCTCCAAGTTACTTCTTCAACCCCAATGAAAAAAACTACTCAGGGCAAAACGTTTTATTTAATAAATATCCCGAACTGTACATAATGGTACTTTTCCACACATGAAATATATATTATTACATAAACACTGATTTCTGCTTCAGTTTACTACGACGTGGATCCCAACGGTGGACCTGTGAAGCTGACCATAGATCGTAGCAACATAACGCTGCTGACAACCTCCTGGAACATTAAGATCACACAGATCTCCTGTGACTCCAGGTACCGAGGTGAGGTTCCTATGTTTGTGGTGCCTTCTGCTCTGTTTATTCATTAGGGTGATTTTAACCACCCAATTGATTTTCTAAAGGTCGGGTAAAATTGTATCAAGCAGGTCCATGGTTGAGAGAAATATAATCGAATGAAGCTTCGTAGAAAATGGTATTGATTTAATATGAATATTAGTTCAGGGTTATATAAATTAGATTCATTTATAATTAGTAGAATTTGAGAGGAATTTAAGCTATACCTGACCTGACATGTGACCTGTCCAAATCTTCACCACACTCCCACACTCAGCGTGCTGGGTCAGATGGCAGGTCACATAAATGCAACAAATAATTCCTTACCTTGATCTTAATATCTTTCACTTATATGCTTCAATGTAAACACTTGATCTACACACTCCCTACCCTTCCTAACACCTCCTTGTTCATCTGCTATCCTGCTCTCTGTCTTTCCCTTAATCCTTTCAATAATCACTGCACTTGCACTTACCTGATATACTCAACAGACTTATTGTCCCCCTGTTCTTTTATACATAGGAACTGTACACGTTCTCCTCCAATCCCTAGGTACCTCCCCCTCTTTCATATATTTATTGAACAAATTGACAAACCACTCCAGTGCTATATTCCCACCTGCTTTTAACATTTCTGTCATGATTCCATAAGTTCCAGCTGCTTCACCCACTTTCATTCTACCCAATGCACCCCACGCATCTTCCTGCACACTCACATCTGGCTCTTTCTCACTCCTAAAAGATGTTATATCTCCCTGCCCAATGCATGAAATTAGGCGGCGTGCAGTCGGGAATTCCTCTCTTCATCAAAATATTCCCTCCATCTTCCCAGTATCTTCACCTCCCCATCTCATAACTCCCCTCTTTCGTTTTAGCTATTAAAGCCGTTAGTGTCCTAGTTTTTCTCAGCCTATGACTCTCATTCCAGAACTTCCTCTTATTAGTAATTAGAAGTATTAATTTTATTAATATTTGCATTGACACAGCGCCTGACGGCTGCCTTCAGTACTACACAGCCACTGCTGGCACCGTCAGCAGTTTCAATTTCCTCAACGCCAAATCTCCTCAACCTCTGCAACGTGAGTGTTTGTTAATAAAATTAGTCAGAGGAGTTGTAAAGATACTTTTCTATACCATCTTTGTCAAGAAAAAGACTGAGAAAATAAATCTGCTGTTACCTAAGACACGTGGACATCATTAGGAATCTTCACTAACTTGTCAACAAAGATTCCTAGTTTTGGCCATATGTTTTAATCTTAAGCTTTGTTGGTATTATATACCATATGCGTAGCAGACGTAATTTTAATAACATCAATGGTAGAAGATACCAAAAGTTGAAGAATTAGACGCAAGTGCACCAACTGGGTATCTTTATTATACAGACGTTTCACCAACCAGTGAATTTGTCAGTACAACACAAGGACAAAAACTGGAGACTGAAGACGTAAAAACAGGAGACTGAAGACGTAAAAACTGGAGACTGAAGACGTAAAAACAGGAGACTGAAGACGTAAAAACTGGAGACTGAAGACGTAAAAACTGATATAAACAATAATACTATGTACTAACGGCTTACTATTAGGCTGAGGGACTGATTACCTCACCTTCTACTTTGTCAATCTTCTCTTTATGTCCCTGTATTGTACTGATAAAGCCACCTGTTGGCGAAACATCTACACAATCAAGAGACCCAGCTGTTCCACAAGTGTCTAACTCTTCATTGTTTCTCATATCAAATTTCACTCATCCTAAAGTTGTTATTCGTAATATAACACAGGCTGTTGTTTTTGTTATAGAAGGAACGCGGCAGCTGGCTAACCAGGACTACGGTATATGCATTAAAAGAGCTGACAGCTACTGTGGCATCGTTTACGACCTTGACACCACAGACGGCAACTATGGTTTCACACTCAATGGATCGGCTGATGTTATAGCGCCAGATTTAGTCGGTAAGACACACACACACACACACACACACACCTGCAACCACAATTAGGTGAGTACAATACATACAACCGAGGAACAAGTGAAGAGGCTGTTAAGCAAGCTAGATACCTCAAAGGCGATGGGGCCGGATAACATCTCTCCATGGGTCCTGAGAGAGGCAGCAGAGGCGCTTTGTTTACCACTAACAACTATCTTCAACACATCTATCGAAACACGGTGACAACCTGAGGTACGGAAGACAGCAAATGTAGTCGCAATTTTTAAAAAATGAGTACGTTAGGCCCATACTGTTATATGCAGCGCCAGTCTGGAACCCTCACCTAGCCAAGCATTTATGGAAACTAGAGAAAATGCAAAGGTTTGCAACAAGACTAGTCCCGGAGTTAAGGGGTATGTCCTACGAGGAAAGGTTAAGGGAAATCGACCTGACGACACTGGAAGACAGGAGAGATAGGGAGGATATGATAACGACATAAAATACTGAGAGGTATAGACGAGGTGGACAGAGACAGGATGTTCCAAAGATGGGACACAGCAACAAGGGGATACAGTTGGAAGTTGAAGACTCAGATGAACCACAGGGATGTAAGGAAGTATTTCTTCAGTCACAGAGTTATCAGGAAGTGGAATAGCCTGGGTAGTGATGTAGTGGAGGCAGGACCCATACATAGCTTTAAGAAGAGGTATGATAAAGCTCACGGAACGGGAAGAGTGACTGAGTAGCCGACAGTTGAAGAGGCGGGGCCAGGAGCTGTGAATCGACCCCCACAACCACAACTAGGTGAATACAACTAGGCGAGTACACACACACACACACACACACACACACACACACACACACACACACTCACACACACACACACACACACACACACACACACACACACACACACACACACACACACACACACACACACACACACACACACACACACACACACACACCAAACTTCAAAAGTGGGGACTACACAGGCATGTGGAACTTCCTGCAAGACATTCAGTGGGAGAGAGAACTGGCAGGAAAACCAGTAAAAGAAATGATGGACTATGTGACAACAAAATGCAAGGAGGCAGAGGAGAGGTTTGTTCCCAAGGGAAACAGAAATAATAGGAAGACCAGAACGAATCTTTGGTTCACCCAAAGGTGTAGGGAGGCAAAAACTAGGTGTACTAGAGAATGGAAAAGTTACAGAAGACAAAGGACCCAGGAAAATAAAGAAATCAGCCAAAGAGCCAGAAACGAATATGCACAAATAAGAAGGAAGGCTACGCGACAATTCGAAAATGACATAGCATCGAAAGTCTGAACCGAAGCTGTTGTATAGCCACATCAGGAGGAAAACAACAGTCAATGACCAGGTAATCAGGCTGAAGAAGGATGGTGAGAGTTCACCAGAAACGCCCAAGAGGTATGTGAGGAGCTCAACATGAGATTTAAAGAAGTATTTACAGTGGAGACAGGAAGGGCTCCAGGAATTCAGAACAGGGAGGTACACCAACAAGTGTTGGATGAGGTACACATAACCGAGGAGGTGAAGCTGCTGCTATGTGAACTTGATACCTCAAAGGCAGTGGGACCAGACAACATCTCTCTGTGGGCCCTTAGAGAGGGAGCAGAGATGCTGTGTGTGTCACTAACAAAGATCTTCAACACATCCATTGAAACTGGGCAACTACCTGAGGTATGGAAGATAGCAAATGTAGTCCTAATTTAAAAAAAAAAAAAGAAGACAAACACAAGGCATTAAACTACAGACCTGTCACTAACGTTTATAGTATGCAAAGTTATGGAGAAGATCATCAGGAGAGTGGTGGAGCACCTGGAAAGAAACAAGCATACAATCGACAACCAGCATGGTTTCAGGGAAGAAAAATCCTGTGTCACAAACCTACTGGAGTTTTATGACAAGGTGACAGAAGTAAGACAAGAGAGAGAGGGGTGGATAGACTGCATTTTCTTGGACTGCAAGAAGGTCTTCGACACAGTTCCTCACAAGAGGTTAATGCAAAAGCTAGAGGATCAGACACACACAACAACAGAAAAGGCACTGCAATGAATCAGAGAATACCTAACAGGAAGGCAACAACGAGTCATGGTACGTGACGAGGTGCCAGAGTGGGCGACTGTCACAAGCGGGATTCCACAGGGGTCAGTCCTAGGACCTGTGATGTTTTTCGTATATGTGAATGGCATAACGGAAGGGATAGACTCAGAAGTGTCCGTTTACAGGTAATGTGAAGCTAATTAGGAGAATTAAATCGGTCGAGGATCAGGTAGGACTACGAAGAGACCTGGACAGGCTACAAGCCTGGTCCAGCAACTGGCTCCTTGAAGTTAACCGTGCCAAATGCAAAGTCATGAAGATCGGGGAGGGGCAAAAAAGACCGTAGACAGCGTATAGTCTAGGTGGCCAAAGACTGCAAACCTCACTCAAGGAAAAAGATCTTGGGGTGAGTATAATACCGAGCACATCTCCTGAGGCGCACATCAATCAGATAAATGCGCAGCGTACGGGCGTCTGGCAAACCTAAGGATAGCGTTCCGATACCTCAGTAAGGAATCGTTCAAGACTCTGTACACGTCAGGCCCATACTGGGGTATGCAGCACCAGTTTGGAATCCACACCTGGTCAAGCACGTCAAGAAATTAGATTAAGTGCAAAGGTTTGCAACAAGACTAGTCAAAGAGCTAAGGGGATTGTCCTACGAAGAACGGTTAAGGGAAATTGGCCTGACGACACTGGAGGACAGGAGGGTCAGGGAAGACATGATAACGACATATAAAATTATAAAATACTGCGTGGAATAGACAAGGTGGACAAAGACAGGATGTTCCAGAGAAGGGACACAGACACAAGAGGTCACAATTGGAAGCTGAAGACTCAGATGAGTCAAAGGGATGTTAGGAAGTATTTCTTCAGTCATAGAGTTGTCAGGCCGTGGAATAGCCTAGAAAGTGACGTAGTGGAGGCGGGAACCATACATAGTTTTAAGACGAGGTTTGATAAAGCTCATGGAGCAGAGAAAGAGAGGACCTAGTAGCACTCAATGAAGAGGCGGGGCCAGGAGCTATGAATCGACCCCTGCAACCACAAATAGGTGAGTAAATACATTAGCTGTATTATAATTATAAACATTGAACTTAGCGATACCGACTCGTCTACACTAGCATGATTAAGACTTAAGGCAGTATATATTATACAATCTCGAAACATGTTACTACACTTTCCAACTCTTGTTGTGTACTCGTTATCCATTTATTCATCTCAGACCTTATGTTCCAAGTCTTAATGCGAATTCATTTTCTTTTTCACATGATAATCTCAAGAATTATATCTTGTTCACATCAGTTAAATGAGAATCTTTTATTTTTAACATACAGCAGGTTACAGATCACGTTTTCTGTAATACACATTAACATCTGCACGAAAGAACAATGCAACAAATCCTGTCGACAGAAAAGTATGGTACAACACTCCGGGTGTCCACCAAGTCACGGAATTATAGAAAATCGAACTCTTACGTGTAAGCTAGGCAACATCAACTGTTCGAAAATAGATCCTACCAATCTCATGTTTACAAACGTATTTTTGTATCAGTTGGAAGCCTTTTCGAAGAACTAATGTAGCCAACCTTACCCAAAAAAATGTTGAGTTTCCAATGATGAAATAGATTGACTGTTTTAACCTAACATAGGAATAAATCTCTCTGTTTACCTCAAAAACAGTCAATTTCATCAACCTTCTCAACTAGTGGATTTTATATTGAAAATTATATAAAATACCGATTACTTGATGAGTAAGACACATGTGCAAGAGTTGGGTATCTTTTTTGTTGAAATATTTCGTCAACACAGTGGGCTTCATCAGTCAAATATAGAGGCAGTCAATCAACCTTGGAGAAATAAAATTCGAGGTGGTCATTCCCTCATCCCGTGTCCCGTAGCTTGGTTGGTAGTTCCCTCTGCTCACATATTGCGTGTCCGTGGTTCGATTCCCGGCCGGATAGAAATGCTGGGCATGTCTCCCTACACCTGCTGCCCTTGTTCACCTATCAGTAAGTAGGTACCTAGGTGTTAGTCGATTGTTGTGGGTCGCATCCTGGGGGGTGGTAATATACTTCAGATAGGGCTGGGCTTCGAAATAAGTTGAGATAGAATAACTACTCTTAGTCTATGTAATTGATCTGTGTAAAGAAAAGAGTTGAGCTCCACGCTGAGGGACTGACCACCTCGAATAATATCTCTCCGAAGTTGATGGACTGATTCCTTAGCTGCTGCGTCTGTATTTGACTGAAGAAGCCTACTGTGTAGGGGAAATTTTTCAGTAATAAAGATATATACCCAACTTAGTGCAGGTAAATGGTTCAGAGAAGTAATAAATTAGACACATGTGCAACACTTGGGTGTCTTTACTGAGGAAACGTTTCGCCACACAGTGGCCTCATCAGTCCTGTAATAAAGTTGGTAGAATTACCGACAATATGTAAAGTAAAAGGACACAAGTGCAACTAATGTGACATTTATTGTGGCAACGTTTCGCTCTCCAGGAGCTTTATCAAGTCTGGGACTCAAATTTACCACCAACAAACCTAACTATCAACTCAATCTTGTTACCAGGAACCATAGACAGTAATGGCTTGATAAAGCTCCTGGAGAGCGAAACGTTGCCACAATAAATGTCACATTAGTTGCACTTGTGTCCTTTTACTCATCAGTCCTATACAAAGAAGAATGGTAAAGTAAAAGGACACAAGTGCAACTAATGTGACATTTTATTGTGGCAACGTTTCGCTCTCCAGGAGCTTTGTCAAGCCGTTACAGACAATACATGGACACAGAGGGTATATATAGGCTCAGAGTGAGGTGCTATACTAGTGGTAGTAGTAGAAGTAGTGATATAAGTTGTAGTAGTGGTAGTAGGTAGTAGTGGTGGTGGGTTAGACAAATATTTCTATTTGTCTAACCTATTTTTATGTTTCCCAAGTAATAGCTTTTATATCCTTTTACTCATGTGCAAGTTAATTTTTCTAACATATTGTATTACTACTACTACCACTACTACAACTTATATCACTACTACTACTACCACTAGTATTGCAAATCACTCTGAGCCTATATATACCCTCTGTGTCCATGTATTGTTTGTAACGGCTTGACAAAGTTCCTACGACATCAGCAGCACAGCTCAGCACGACAGCATTGCTTCACAGCAGACGTAGACCACACTTCACGATGCACTTCTCGAACAGGGTAAAGATCAAACCAGAGAGTGGGACAGTCAATGACTCGTCCAAGCTAGCACTTGCAGTGGCAGACTGCAAGTCAAGTTTAATGCGATTCTGTCGCTCAAAGAGGCCTTCGTTGTCGTCTGTACTGACGACATCGAGGCTGAAAAACTCATTAGCACTACTGCTACAACCACTCTACGAGATCAGGGATTTATTGTCTTGACTTCCCCAGCTCTGAGGGCCAGGAGAACTGTGTTCCTCAAGAGACTTGACAGGCTCATCACTGCCCAGGCTACCGAAGAAATTAAGTCGTCCATTGAAGCACAGAACCCTTGGGCCAAGGTGGAATTCATTACCAAAATACCCAATGTCTCCTCCATGCCGAAGGTCACCTTCAGTGACGTCAACATGGCAGCCAGAGGTCTCGCTGAGGGACTGGCTATTCACTACTTCCACATCAATCCAGCCTTCATCGAAGCAGAGAAATTCCATCAAATTCCACAGTGTTCCAACTGTTACTCATACCTACATACCACCAAAGACTGCCCTGCCAAGAATAAGAAGTTCTGCTCCACCTGCGGCCAAGAAGGTCATCACTTCAAGACGTGCACTACTGCCTCTCCACCCAAATGCTTGAACTGCAAGAATGATCACCATACTCTTGCTGCCAAGTGCCCAACCAGACGAGATATACTTAAGAAACAACTCCAGCAAAAAAAAAAAAAAAAAAAAAAAAAAAAAAACACTGCACAAGCGACTTCATATGCTGCTATTACCAAGCTTCAAGCAGATACTACCAAGATTCTTCAAGCCACGCAAGCTGCATCTACCACTTCTTCGCCAGCTCTTGCTGGCGACTCCACCAAAATTCTTTACTGCATCATGTATGCTCATGTGCAGAATGTAGCTGAACCTGGTTCCTTCAACACCACCATCAACGAACTCTACAAGCTCAACAACATGCCTGCATCTCCACCTTCCACAGAGATCATAAAATCCACTGCAAATGTCTCCAACATTACCGCTGCTCCACCGCTACCACACCTTCCTCCCGACACAGAGATGGACCAATCAGAGACAACTGAGACGCCGACCGATTCCACCAATGAGAATCCACCAGCACCTGCTTCCACCTCCGTCACAACGGACCAATCAGACGCCTCACCTCAAACGTCTCAGCCGCCAGCCAAGAAGGTTAAAACACAAGAGCCTTGGGATGAATCCCTACGAACTACCGCCACTCCTTCAAAAGAAGTTCACGTCTTGCCTGGTGTATACTTCTACACATCCAACCAGAATGAGAACGCAATGTACACTCCAGAAATTATTCAACGCCTCCACAACGAGACAGTCAAGTTCACCTGCGACTCAACTCGATCATTCACCATTGAATCCCTGATCAACCTACTCTCAAAAAGTCACCGTGTTGTGGCACTCGAATACACCACAAGGAAGAAATTCAGGACTCTCCAGAATGGAACTGCCGAAGTCGGTACCCTCACCTAGCAGGACTGTCAATGATCAATCACCGTGAAGACAAGTTTCTCCAGCACTTTGCTGCCTGCTAAAGCTGGGGTGTGGCTCCAAAACGAACCCTGTAATTGCTGCCTCCGCCCTCCTATGCTGCTGAAGATGCTAAACGAGAAGACACTTCCCACTTGGGGAGTCACCGCAAGACAAGAAGAAGTCACCCTCCAACCGGAGGGCCCCAAGAAAGAATACAGAAGAAAGAGAAAGATGAACGACACCCCCCCCCCACCCCCCGCCCGGGAGGCCACCGTCGGGTCGCCATCTGGAGAAGACCCGGGCCCGAAGTACCGGCAAACCTACAACAACAATAAAGCTTCTGGAGAGCGAAACGTTGCCACAATAAAATGTCATATTAGTTGCACTTGTGTCCTTTTACTTTACATATTGTCGGTAATTCTACCAACTTTATTACAAAGAAGAATGGTGAAAATCAGAGAGTTTGAGGGACTGATTACCTCAAACTCCTGATCTTCACCATTCTTCTTTGTATACGACTGATAAAGCCACTGTGTGGTGAAACCTTTCCTCAATAAAGATACCTAAGCACTGCACATATTTCTGTATAATAATATCTTTATTTACTACAAGTACATGTAAAGGTATACAGACCATAGCTGACATCAATAGAGAAAGCCCTTTGTTATTTAGAGCATTTCGGGTAAATTATGTCAGTTTTGTCCCAGGATGCGACCCACACCAGTCCACTAACACCCAGGTAGCCATTTTAAACTGATGGGTGAACAGGGACAGCAGGTGTCTTATGGAAACAAGTCCCTAATGTTCATCCAGAAATAACAGAGATTCGAACCCCAGACCTCTGTGTGTGATCTGAGTGCGCTCGCGATCAAGCTACAGGACACCCTAATTTATCACCCAACTTAGTGAATGTTACTTAACGCTATCAGATATCAGAGAACGTCAAACTCAAAGCAAATTTCACACAGGTACCTACGACGTTAACTTTCGGGATGAAAACTGCACAACAGACTACGTGGTCATTCCTGGAGGCATGTACACTAAGCATGCCAACGATGTTGCGACATTCCCAGCAGACAGATACTGTGGCCTCGGCTTTCCCAACACCGTCACCAGTGAGTAAATATTTACATTATATTATCAATGAATTACGAGGAATATCTTATTTAATACCCCGCATGAGTTCATAGTCGTGTTCCTCACCTACTTTTTTTGTTATAATTATAGATAAGTAATAAACCCGTAAGGATAATTAAGCACCAGGAGAATAGAGGAGTTTATCAAGTTTTGATAGAGGAAGAAATAAATGGCTCCAATTCTTTGAATCAAAAGATATATTAAAGTCAACGCCAAGTGCTTAGTTTTCCGTATGAAGAGACGCTTTCACAGTATTTCATCCACATTATAAACACAAATAAACATTGTTTGTATGACAAGAGCCATAAAATATACATCTTATTTACGTATCCAGTAAACAGCAATCATTAATTTATTATACATACCTTAATTTCTCCAATTATTAAATGTTTTAAAATTAGTATTTATATATTATAATTGATATTCGTTGTTTGTTTTTTTACTTTCAGCCACTGCCAAGCCCTTCGTACTGTACTTTAAAACAGACGGTAATGAAACTCTGGATAGCTACAACCGAGGCTTTAGCCTCAACTACCGACAGATAACAAGCTGCACGTAATGACCCGCTAACAGCCAGCAGCAGCAGCAGCAGCAGCAGCAGCAGCAGCAGCAGCAGCAGCAGCAGCAGCAGCAGCAGCAGCAGCAGCAGCAGTAGTAGTGTAGCAACAGCTCTAGCAGTCACCATGCTGAGTGACTCTGCTAATCTGTCACATGACAATACTGAAAAAAAAAATTAATAACACTGACTCTGTAAATGGTCCAAGTCGGACCGAAACGTCGTTGTAAGCTTCTCTCTTCTATGTGCGGGTTATTTGTGTATCGTTCCAGTCACGGTATTGTGTTTTTTTTTTATTTATAAGATTAACAGTGAAACACGCTAACACTGGGACTACATAACACTCCGTGTAGACCTTGGTTCAATACCCAGTATTATGACTATATCAGTGGTGTATAACACCTATAGTATAATACCTGGGTATCTTTGATAGTGTAACGTTTTGCCCGGAAAGGAACAGCCTTATTTTACCGGTATATAATACCGAATAGTAGTAGAATAACATACATGTGCAACGCCAGATCATTTTTCAGTACAGTAGATAGTTTATAAACCAGGACAGTGGAAGATGAGGTAATCAGTCCCTTAGCTTCGAATCCTGTGATCAATACAGGGGTTTTATATATATATATATATATATATATATATATATATATATATATATATATATATATATATATATATATATATATATATATATATAATATATAATGGATTAAAGTTGGATAAATTTAAATTTAGAAGGGACATAGGTAAGTACTGGTTTTCGAACAGAGTTGTGAATGCGTGGAGCAATCTCCCGAGTAGTATAATCAAGGCTAAGACCTTGGGTAGCTTTAAAAAGAGATTGGACGGATATATGAGTGGGAGGGGCTGGGTTTGATTGTTGTCATTGGGTACGGGAGGATATTCTTGACCTGGCCTTCTGTAGTGTTCCTCCATTCTTATGTTGTTATATCTGTGAAGTATGCGAGTGACAGGTAGTCTATAGTGACTCACGAAATCGTAATGACACGATTGCAAACAAACCATACCCCGGCCGGGATTGAACCCGCGGCGGGCTGGAGTTTTGAGACTCTCTGACCGCGGGTTCAATCCCGGCCGGGGTATGGTTTAGTCTACAGTGCTGCTCTACCTGGCCTGACTCACTCCTAGCTACTACTAATAAACACCTGTATGATCGCCCTGTTCTATTGTAAATTACTAATTGCTATTCGTTATTGAGTACTTGATAGAGTGTGTGTGTGTGTGTGTGTACTCACCTATTTGTGGTTGCAGGGGTCGAGTTTTAGCTCCTGGCCCCGCCTCTTCACCGGTTGCTACTGGGCCCTCTCTCTCCCCGCTCCATGATCTTTATCAAACCTCGTCTTAAAACTGTGTATGGTTCCTGCCTCCACTACGTCATTTTCTATGCTATTCCACTGCCTTACAACTCTATGACTGAAGAAATACTTCCTAATATCTCTCTGACTCATTTGTGTCTTCAACTTCCAATTGTGGCCTCTTGTTTCTGTGTCCCCTCCCTGGAACATCCTGTCTTTGTCCACCTTGTCTATTCCACGCAATATTTTATATGTCGTTATCATGTCTCCCCTGACCCTCCTGTCCTCCAGTGTCGTCAGGCCGATTTCCCCTAATCTTTCTTCATAGGACATTCCCCTTAGCTCTGGAACTAACCTTGTCGCAAACCTTTGTACTTTCTCTAGTTTCTTGACGTGCTTTATCAAGTGCGGGTTCCAAACAGGTGCTGCATACTCCAGTATGGGCCTGACATACACGGTGTACAGTGTCTTGAACGATTCCTTACTAAGGTATCGGAATGCTGTTCTCAGGTTTTCCAGGCGCCCATATGCTGCAGCAGTTATCTGATTGATGTGTGCTTCCGGAGACATGCTCGGTGTTATACTCACCCCAAGATCTTTCTCCTTGAGTGAGGTTTGCAGTCTTTGGCCACCTAGCCTATACTCTGTCTGTGGTCTTCTATGCCCTTCCCCTATCTTCATGACTTTGCATTTGGCAGGATTAAATTTGAGAAGCCATTTGCTGGACCAGGTGTCCAGTCTGTCCAGGTCTCTTTGAAGTCCTGCCTGGTCCTCATCAGATTTAATTCTCCTCATTAACTTCACATCATCTGCAAACAGGGACACTTCTGAGTCTAACCCTTCCATCATGTCGTTCACATATACCAAAAATAGCACTGGTCCTAGGACCGACCCCTGTGGGACCCCGCTCGTCACAGGTGCCCACTGTGATACATCATTACGTACCATGACTCGTTGTTGCCTCCCTGTCAGGTATTCTCTGATCCATTCCAGTGCCCTTCCTGTTATATGCGCCTGGTGCTCTAGCTTCTGCACTAATCTCTTGTGAGGAACTGTTTCAAAGGCCTTCTTGCAGTCCAAGAAGATGCAATCAACCCACCCCTCTCTCTCTTGTCTTACTTCTGTTATTTTATCATAAAACTGTGTGTGTGTGTGTGTGTGTGTGTGTGTGTATGCTAGTGGGTTTGGGTTTCATAAGGACTGCCAATTAAGGAGCCAGTAGTCTTGTCGCAGTGTTCCTCTTTTCTTATATTATCAAACAATACTTTCTAAATTGGCTTCTAATTATATCTGCAATTATGGATTCTAATAATTTTCTCACTACTGATATGAAACTGAGTGAGTAGTTATGCATGTAGGACTCAAGAAGTACTCTTCCATACACCAGGTACGATTCTTATTTGTAGTGATTCATTGCAAACATTAGTTAGCGGCTAGTTAAATTCCTTTATGCATTCTTTGAGAATCCGTTTGAAACAGTTGGCTGGAACCCAGCCAACTATCTATAATACTGTATGTATATATATATATATATATATATATATATATATATATATATATATATATATATATATATATATATATATATATGTATATATGTATATATAAACACTGATCTCTGGCCGAAGGAGACTCGAACCTACGAACCTTGGAACAAGGTACGCAGTGCTACACCATTCTCACCACACTGATCAATACTTAGCGCCTAGCACAATGCTAGACGTTGATCCAAGGCAGCCAGCTTTCAGGGAGAAGGCTTATAGCTTTTCATCTCATCCTCTGCATGCATCAGCCTTACTAGAGATTTTAACAATGCAAGGAATTTGCAAGAGCAGGCGAAATATACACAAACACTGATCTTGGCCAGAGATCACTGTTTGTGTGTATATATATACATATATACATAATATATATATATATATATATATATATATATATATATATATATATATATATATATATATATATATATATATATATATATATAATATATATATTTAACAAGTCGGCCGTCTCCCACCGAGGCAGGGTGACCCAAAAAGAAAGAAAATCCCCAAAAAGAAAATACTTTCATCATTCAACACTTTCACCACACTCACACATTATCACTGTTTTTGCAGAGGTGCTCAGAATACAACAGTTTAGAAGTATATACATATAAAGATACACAATATATCCCTCCAAACTGCCAATATCTCAAACCCCTCCTTTAAAGTGCAGGCATTGTACTTCCCATTTCCAGGACTCAAGTCCAGCTATATACAAATAACCGGTTTCCCTGAATCCCTTCACGAAATATTACCCTGCTCACACTCCAACAGCTCGTCAGGTCCCAAATACCATTCGTCTCCATTCACTCCTATCTATCACGCAGGCTTGCTGGAAGTCCAAGCCCCTCGCCCACAAAACCTCCTTTACCCCCTCCCTCCAACTTTTTCGAGGACAACCCCTACCTCGCCTTCCTTCCCCTACAGATTTATACGCTTTCCATGTAATTCTACTTTGATTCATTCTCTCTAAATGACCAAACCACCTCAACAAACCCTCTTCAGCCCTCTGACTAATATTTTTATTAACTCCACACCTTCTCCTAATTTCCACACTCCTAATTCTCTGCATAATATTTACACCACACATTGCCCTTAGACAGGACATCTCCACTGTCTCCAACCGTCTCCTCGCTGCAGCATTCACAACCCAAGCTTCACACCCATATAAGAGTATTGGTACTACTATACTTTCATACATTCCCTTCTTTGCCTCCATAGGTAACTTTTTTGACTCCACATATACCTCAACGCACCACTCACTTTTTTTCCCTCATCAATTCTATTATTAACCTCATCCTTCATAAATCCATCCTCCGACACGTCAACTCCCAAGTATCTGAAAACATTCACTTCTTCCATACTACTCCTCCCCAATTTGATATCCAATTTTTCTTTATCTAAATCATTTGATACCCTCATCACCTTACTCTTTTTTATGTTCACTTTCAACTTTCTACCCTTACACATTCTCCCAAACACTTCCACTAACCTTTACAACTTTTCTTTAGAATCTCCCATAAGCACAGTATCATCAACAAAAAGTAACTGTGTCAATTCCCATTTTGTATTTAATTCCCCATAATTTAATCCCATCCCTCTCCCGAACACTCTAGCATTTACTTCTTTTACAACCCCATCTATAAATATATTAAACAACCATGGTGACATTACACATCCCTGTCTAAGACCTACTTTTACCGGGAAGTAGTCTCCCTCTCTTCTACACACCCTAACCTGAGCCTCACTATCCTCATAAAAACTCTTTACAGCATTTAGTAACTTGCCACCTATTCCATATACTTGCAACATCTGCCACATTGCTCCCCCATCCACACTTATCATATGCCTTTTCTAAATCCATAAATGCAATGAAAACTTCCCTACCTTTATCTAAATACTGTTCACATATATGCTTCAATGTAAACACTTGATCTACACATCCCCTACCCACTCTGAAGCCTCCTTGCTCATCCGCAATCCTACATTCTGTCTTACCTCTAATTCTTTCAATTATAACCCTACCGTACACTTTTCCTGGTATACTCAGTAAACTTATTCCTCTATATTTTTTACAATCTCTTTTACCCCCTTCCCTTTATATAAAGAAACTATACATAATCTCTGCCAACCCCTAGGTACCTTCCCCTCTTTCATTATA